CCTTTGCAAATGGTGTGCGCTAAGGGATGATTCTGAACATTTTTGCTTGACATGTGATTGACTCGTTGAATGGCACTCGTGCTTGAAAGGCACAGAGAATGAAAAACGCAGTAAGGTGGTATAATACAAGAATGCAATGCACAAGCATCATAGTTGCGGCACACCTCGGCGCACGGATTTGTGCATTCGCAGCACAGCGCTCCACACGCGGCTCATGGGAAAAATTAAGGTTAAAAAAAAGAATGGTTAGGGGTTTCGTAATTTCCTACGGCGCCCACCCCGGCAAAATGTTCAACTCGCCGCGCGAGTTTGGAAACCGTCCGCACCCTTGGCCCAAAATTTTTATTGGGCAAGGGATGCCGCATTTTGAATTCTGGGGGGCCCTCCCCCCAAAATTTCAAAATCGCTGATCATGAAAATAGGGCTCATTGAGCCTTATTCCAGTTTTTTTTTTTAGGAGGGGTGTGGTAACTGGCGTCCCCCCTCCCTTCTGCAAATCCCACACAGCGGTGGATGAATTTGGAAGAAGGGTATAATTGCCCAATGATGATGCCCTGCTCCACGCTGTCTCGCAGAAGTCACAATGTATGTTTGGTGAGGCCAGCCGACCACCATTATATGCTGAAGATTGGCATTCAGGTCTGCATGTCGGCAGTTATGGGCTAGGATGAAGATGCCTGTAGCTCTCTCGTTTTTTTCTTGTTGTTTTCTTATGAATACGTACAGTTGCCCGAGGGGCCTCTCGCCACTACTCACCACATGCACAAAAGACATACCAGATGGTGGTGTATGGTTCCATGTTTTAGCAGAAGATTCATTCTAATGTTATATACATCTGGTGAGTGGTGGAGCTAGGGCCTGAGAATCACGTGGAGACGAACAGGGTCTAGCTGAATTGGTGACCCATAACTCCCGAGCTACAGACCTGAACTTGCACCCACAGCATATATTGGTGGGCTGTTTCCGCCTCTCCCATATATGACGCGGCCATCCTGCCTGCTGAAGCGACGGTCCTCAATGCCTCCACAATGTCCAAGTGCATTGTCGGAGCCATTAGAGTTACCTGGAGGGGCCCTTGAATTGACGTAAAAGGGGCCGTTTGGTCTCTCTCTCTCTCTCTCTCTCTGTGGGGCACCAGTAAATGTTTTGTTCTTCTTCTCTTTTTTTTTTTCCATTTTATTTCTTCGCGCACCTGGTGCGCCTCAACTATGACAAGCAGGCTTGAAGTACAAAAAGCGAAGTACTGCTCTTAGGTAATGGGTACAGACCATAGAGTGTTGTTGTTGTTGTTGTTGTTGTTGTTGTTGTTTTGCCTGTCACAACCGGTGCGTGCTCAGTGACGAGTTCGAACATTTTTGCTTGATATGTGACTGACTTGTTGAATGCTACTTGCGCTTGCAGGCTTAAAGAATCGAAAATGCAGTAGTCCTCAGTCTGACTATTTTTGCTTGACATGTCGTTGACTCATGAATGGTACTGGTGCTTGCAGGCATAAAGAATCGAAAACGCAGTAAGCTAGTATGGGACGAGAACGCACAAGAATGGAGACGGCGTTGGGGATATAAGCGTGTCAATGATGAGAAAGACGTGCATGTATTGGATGCCAAGGCAACAGACGGTAAGTCCCCTTCAATCCCTTGTGTGAGTTAAAATGAAAAAAGAAAGGCAAGAAAAATTAGAAAATAGACAACCACCTTTAATTAATCGCAGCCTTTTGTTTCGAACTGACCAATCATTGGATGCTATCGAGTGGGAATGAGGAGATTAGAGGCAGCCGCAATGCCGGGGTACTCAGTTGAAGGGGAACTCCTGAGGGTGACTGGTGTGATGTCCTGTAAGATGGAGCTTAGGACTGGACTTGAACTGGAGCTATGTGGGCGCTCACAGGAGAAACTGGAGACACGTCGAGGTGAAAGCCACGTTTCTCATTTGCAACGTGTGCGTTGTTTCAAGTTCAGATTGTGGACTTGTACTTGCAGTGTGCCGCTGTTTCCTCTCTCTCTCTCTCTCTCTGTGTCTCTCTCTTGTGGATTCGAACTCAGGTGTATACGTACTGAACCCTTTTTTTAATGTTTATTCTTTTGAAGTTTCGACGATTGGTCCTTGGGGACATCCGTTAAAGTTGGAACGATACAGAGAATAGCATGGACACTGCGAGCAAGGATGACACAGATAAATTGAGAAATGGCCCAAAAAAAAAAGAAAAGAAGTATGGACGATTAACCGGTTTACGGCAGTTGTCGTTGCGCAGGGCCCATGCTACTCTTCCCTGTATTTTTCGTTAAAATTTGAACGAGACACTGAATATTTTTTTTTTTAATCGACGTAACATTCTTGTATCATTTGGTAGGTGTGCAGTCATGATCTGTTTATTGACAGTTACATGTGTACTGTTCATCTGTATGGGTCACGTGTGTACTTATATTCACCTTTTTTTTTTTCTTTTCTCTTTTTTTGTTTCTTAAAGTCCACAGACACATTATTAACATTCGACCCGTACCTAGACGGCTTATCTGCCAGATGCATTTGGACTGATCAAACATTTTGAATGTATTTTGACCATCACCATATATTATATTTATCCGAACACAGTATAGATTCTGCAAAGGGAAAAGAATTGAACAAGCTTGTCGTCTTAAAGGATTGAACCAGAATGATTTTAAGAAGTGTAGGAAAAATGGCCAAAAATTTCAGGAATTGATATCAATGCTGCGGTCTAAGGAATCGAAGACTCACAAACTGAATTTTTGAAAATGTTTTGGTTCGAGTGATTCAGCGCGGAGCCTGTTTTTGCTTTGACAGCATGGCGTCGGAGTGTTGCTATTTTGTGTCCATGGCTTGCGTTGGTGAAGGCATCTGGCTGTTGAGCCAGAGATGCACGGTTCGATTCCTTGGAGGGTCGGCCAGACAAGTACATATATTTTGTATAGGCGAATGAACACAATGCTGTCATTGCCACACGGTGTTGAACGTCTGACATGTGAGATGGGATTGGGGTTAATAAATAATTTTGTTGTGTTTGTCACAGCGCTGCGCTTGTTTCTGCAGATGTGGGTGGGCTTCCGTTCTCGGAGAGACGGAAGGAGGAAAAAGGAACAGCAGCACCTGCATGGTACCTGCGCGCGGCACCAGTGTGGCACCTGCATGGCACCCGAGAGGCACCTGCGCGCGGCACCTGCGTGGCACCTGTGTCGGACCTGTGGGCACATGCACGTATACATGCATGTTTCGATTGTGACTTGGGATCGTGGTTGATATTGTGGTTTGCCCTCACTGACATGTTGTCTGTCTGTGCAGAGGCGGGTACGGATCCGTTTGCTGAGAGACGGAAGGCGAAAAAGGCACGGGTTGCAAAACAGGAGAAGCATCAGATGGCCAACTTGAAGGAGGCTGTTAAGCATGGAGCAATTCCAAGGTATAAATGCTCACTCGTCGGCCATATTTTTTATTTATTTTTGTTTTTTTTAAAGACTAATAGGCCCCTGAGTGTTGGCCCCATCGTCGACCTTGAACTGCAGGCTCACCTATTCGATGTCCTTGCCTGCTCAACAGTCGTCAAGAAATGGGAGCTGATCAGCACAGTCTGGTTAATCAGTATCAGCAGTCTCTTTGGTTCAACCCCTAGCCGGCTTCTAATCGGCCTACTACTGTCTTTGCCCAAATAGAATGCCCAGTCATTATTGATGTATCTAGACTGAAAGCTGCACCAAATACTGCTATGGCCACCGGCCGCTCTATTCCGGTGAAGACGGTAGGACTCAGAACCCTGGCATTTTTTAACATCTCTTCCATCGGCTGTGTAAGGTCACCTTATGGACAATTTGAAAACGTGGGTATCAGGCTATATTCACTGGGAAGTTGGGAACCAATGGGTACAAAAGGAGTACCTGCTCCTAATGAAAGAAATTGTGGAGTTTAAAAAAAAAAACAAAAAAAACGAAGAAGTTGTGGAGGTGGAATTGCATAATAATAATAATAATAATAATAATAATAATAATAATAATTTGCGATTCTACAACTTCTAGGAGCAGAAAGTGAGGGCATTTGGGAACAGAAAAGTGTATCAGGTGAAAGTCCTTTGTGACATCCGGTAAAATTGGAACGTTGGCGGCCGAGGAGATTAGCCTGACCCTTGTGCACGGATGAGATGCCATAATCGCAAAATGGTCCAAATTTTAATAAGAAAAAAGAAAAGAAAAGAAAAAGAAAAAAAAGAAAAGTGTAGCAAACTTGAGCGAAGATCTTAGCAGCACAACACCAATGGAGGGGAGGATGCATTCCATTCCATTCCATCCATAGTCATCTTTATTTTTATTTTATTTTTCCATTTCCTTTTTTTTTTCCTGAAAGGGCTTAGCTAACCAACGAGCCTACCTCAGTTGGTGCACCCATGAACTGTTGGAATGCAGACCCGAGTTCAAATCCTCTTGGACCTTTTTTTTGTCTTTTTAATAAAAACAGAGTCTTATGACTCTGACTCCTTTTCCATTCTGGGGAGCAAATCCTCCCGGACCTTGATATAATTAAAAGGAAAAAAGAAAGGGGTTAGCTACGGACGTTCTCGTAGTACTCGTACTCAACATGATCTGAAGTCTTGATGGGTTTGTTTATCAATGCTGACACATGTATGGCACTTGGCCACTGTTGGTAAGTTTGTCATTGTAGCCCTGATCGTTCTGCACCGTACCGGAATCGAACCACCAACCTCGGCTATGTTATAGCCGGATGCCTTTACCGCTGCAACAGTGACCTGATGCTCTAAACTGAAGCCGTACCGGTCGTGACATTCAGCCCACCCCAGCACAGTTGCAGCAACGACTTGTTCACCCGTCAACACGCGAGCCACTCGGCACGGACTGAATGCATTCCATGATGTTGTTTGTGGCCTGTTGTAGGCTGAAAAAAAGGGGTTGGCTCTAATGCATTCATTTTGTCCTGTAGTGTTGTTGAAGATGCTGCGTGAAAATGGGATGGGATGCCAGATTGTGTGCAATGCTGTAATGTCAAGTCAGTGCAGAATATGTATGATACACTGCAGTCGTGTCTGACGTGGTATGCAACGTTGGATTGCAATGAACAGTACTCTGCAGCTGGCCGCGACGAAGTTGCCCATTACCGGGACGAAGGAAGTTCCAAAGAAGCTTGGCAAGAGCCAGCTCTCCGAAGCGGCGGGGATTGCAAGCACTGCAACCGCTAGCATTGGGAAATTTGATAAAAAGCTGCCCGGAGAGAAGAACATCAAGCAAAAGGGAACGAAGCGCAAGGTATGTGACACTTCTCTCTTCGGGAGCTTTTTTTTTTTTTTTTTGAAAAGACCGCTGGCCCCGTCTATTTTGGGGGTCAACAGTACGGTAGCTTATATCCGGCAAGCAAATGTCAGAGGTGCATATTTGCCTGGCTGTCTTGCACAACTCGATGTGGCTGAGCTAGCTGCTAGCTGCTTGCCATATTGCCCTGAACATAACGCCCTCTTATCCTCACTGCATGCATGTGACCACGGATAGAGCCTGTATACCTTCCATTCATGATTAAAGGGATTTCTGGTGGGGGGGGGGTGGGGGGAGGGGGGAGGATAAGGTAGCATATCTGTTCCGCATAACTCCGCTGGCTACCTTCCTCACCGGAATACAAAGTATGGTCATTACTGCTGTGTACAGACTGAAAGATACCCCAAATACAGTTATAATGACCATACGTTGTATTTGGGCGAAGAAGGTAGAGCTGTACTTCGTGGACAGTCGAGGTAGAGCTCTAGAAGGAGGACGACGTTGAGATATCAGCATTGACGTTATTGGCCCTGGGTCCATTACTGGATTCGAACTTCGGTCTCTATTTCCACAGCCCATGGTTGTACCAACTGAGTTAAGCTCGTTGGTGGAAACACGTGAATCTGACAAGGATGCCTACCATCTTCACCCCGACTACAATGCGTGGTCATTTTATCTGTATCTGGACTGGAAGTTGCCCCAAGTACCGCTATAATGACTGGGTGTTCTATTCGATTGAAGACGGGAGGTGGGAACCCCCTGTCCTCTCCTGGGACACAATACCCTATCTTGAGCCTGTATTCCACGGGACAGGCAAATTGTGTACCTTTGTGATGTTGTGTTCACGTTGTGGTGATGTTTTTTTTTTTTTTTTTTTTTTTTTTTTTTTTTTTTTTTTTCAGTATGTTTCACTGTATTACTGGCTTCTATGCATGATGGAAGACTATAATATGAATTGGTTGGGCTTAAAGAATTAGCCTTTATTAAAAAAAAGAAAAAAAAGAAGACTATAATATGGTGGACCATGCTGGAAAAGAAAAAGACATTAGCATAATGTCTAGAATCTCGATCAGTGTTTGAACATTTCTTCTCTTGTGAATTGATGGGAGTCTGCGTAAATGCGAGCTTGCGTTTTGTGAGATGCCCTTGATATCAACGCTGCTGCTGTTTGTTTGGACCGTTCCTCCCGTAGCCCCATAGAAATGTGTACAAAGTTGCAGTGAAACAAAGACTGAAAAGTCCGATGCTAGAGAGAACTCGTACTTTCACAGCAAGCGGCCTCAACCATGCGGTGGAGGGCAACGCATCCTCCGTAGGTCTTTTTCAGTGTCTTGGTGGTCAGGACGCTAACCATGGCAATATTTCCTCATTGTTGAAAACTATCCATCTAACTCTCTGTCCTACTACACACGTGCTTTCCAGCACTTCTCCTCTCTCCCCCCCTCTTATACACATCTAGATGTGTATAAGAGACAGGTGTTGATGTGACCAGGAGTGTCGGCATTGGCAC